AGATAAACTATAAATGCATTCATGACTGCTATAAAAAAGATGACATGTTGCTTCTTTATTTTTTTATTTTTCTCTTTCTATGTTTTGTTGTTTCTATTTTTTTCTTATTTACTTATCACTTTGCTTTTTCTTCCTTAAAATAACATTGGTTTTATTCTGTAAAAATATTTAATAAAAAATTAATAATAATAAAAAGATACACAGTAGATCATAAAAAGTTCATTTATGAACAAAGTAATTCTGGAGATTGTTGTATTCCTAGGTGCCTGCATGCACATTCATGTTTATAGAAACTAGCTGCTTTTTGTTTGTTTATTTACATTTTAAAATGATTTACCACTTTTCATTTTCTCCACAAATCTCAAAATAATTTATAATTCTTTCATTATAAATTAGCTAAAACAATGGATTGAAGTTTACCTTAATTGCATTTCTAAAGACCACCAGAATGAGTGTTAAAAAAAATGAAAACTCTGCCTGCATTTATTTTTGTTCCCTAAAGTATATTTCTACATGTGCTCCATGAAAGATTAAAAGATTATAGTTTGAAAACAAATGTCCTGTCTCTTGGAGAAATTCCTCTGCCTCTTTGTCCATGGTACAGAAACAGAGAGCACAGAACTTTGAGGCGAGAGAACAGAATTAGAAAGAAAAGGGGAAGACGACTTTCTTTCTTAGGAAGAATAAATGACAGCTGTGCAAAAAAAAAAATATGACCATGTTTGTGATTTGCTGAGTATTGTTTATCCTTTCTTTTAAGGAATAGATTGTGATCTCCCTCTACATCAAGAAAACTAATATGCTAATAGCTACAACAATATAAGGAAAATAATAACTACACTCCACAGTTTTCTTTCACTGATTATCTGGTTATCCACTTATTGGTTAAAACAGAATCATATTAAGGAGGGGAGGGAATATCCCATTATATAACTTGACTGAAACGAGTTTCTCTAACACATTACCTCCATCTACTGGACATAGAATTAAGTGACGCTACTAAAATAGTCACACTTTTTGTGTGTGTGTGTGTGTGACTTTGAGACAGTGTTGACTCTTGGTGACTGCCTGGACGAATCTCTGCAATTTCTTGAGAAGTTTTTGAAAGTAGTTTGCCACTGCTTCCTTCCCAGGGTTAAGAGAGAAGAACCGGCCCAAGATCACCCAGTTGGCTCCGTGGCTAAGGTGGGACAAGAACTCATAGTCTCTGTTTACGGCCTAGTGCCCTAACCACTAGACCACACTGGATCTCCATTACTCAAACTAAAAACAGTTAAAAATATTATTATGAAGATAAATAAGAAAGCACTGATGGAACCTATAAAAAGAATAAAAAAACCTGCAAGTTGGCTTTCTGATCTGCATATTAATCTTGAAAGAAGACGCTTGTTGAAAAGTTCAACATAAAAACCACTTCAAACATCCCTAAATCTGAGCAGGATGAACAAGTCGATAAACTCTTTCCTACCACAAGGTTATTCTGTGGAAAATTTGAAGACTTGTCAGTCTTGCCTTCCTGGGCCTGGTTTGGATACCTTTCAGGCCAACTGAAGAAAAATAACTTTTTCTGTTGTGCTGCTAGTCAGAGAAAATCTAAAATCTATTATTTCTTCTACTGTGTTGGGATGAAGATAGGGAATAAACCAGAAATGTCTATTTGTTGTTAACCTTCTTTGAGCTGTATATGGAAGTTAGTACTAGAAAATATGTATAGTTGGACTTGGCTAATACTTGGCTGGGAAGTTAGCAAGAAGCCCTAGAACTATAGGCTAGATTGGCCAGCCAAAAAAAAAACCAACAACCTGGAGAAACCCATGATATCTCCATATACTAGTATTTGCCAGGGAAACTCTATCACTAGGGTTAAATTTCCCTTAGTAAATTCCTTTTTAAAGAAAAACCAAATGCCCTACTACCCTGTGATATTACTGTACCTCTTGTGTGAAATATCCATAGTGCTCACCATTGGTCACAAGAGCCAGTGATAAAGCACAGAAAAATCTTAAATACCAGCTTTTCCCCCCATTATTTTTCCAAATTTAGTTCATTGTCCTTTTGTGTTCCTTCAGAATAGATGAGACTGATTCATCCTCTGTTGGTATGTCTGTTTTTCCTGGATAGCTTGCCTGTTTAATGTTCTTTCCATGTACATGTGTGATTTAATGCTCTCCAGAAAGCTTGCTGGAAAAATACTGTGGTTAAAGCAAGGATTTTTGCTTTTGCTTTGCTTCAGTTTTCAAGAAGGAAGACAGGGTGAACTCAAGACTATTGTGGCAACTGGAAGCTGATTGGTGGTTTTAGTGCTCAGTTATTGGATCACCTGGGAATAGATAAGATGAGCTCAATGTTAAATCACAGGAATGAGACTCAGGACAGCAGCATGGTAACCAGTCATCTTTACTTCTATCTAGGACTCGGCGCTGAAGAAACCGCAGCAGTCCTTTTATAGTCGGGCTGCTCGTGGCTGTGGCCAGTGACGGCTCTTCAAATTTCCCACCACCACGGACTGACCAATTGCAGGTAAGTATGTTAATATATGACACCCCTCCCCACCTGGTCTGGTCCAACCAATCTGGGCCTCGCCTACCATACGTAATCACGTAGGTAGGCAGGGCTTTTATGGTTTCAACTGGACCTGCGCAGGTCAGTTGCGGTTTGGCTTCTGGACTGTTCGGATGGATCTGTTGTTCCTCCCGTCATTCTTCTTGGAACCTCCTGGAAGGTTGAGTTGGACATGCTGCTCCCGCCAGGAATCTCCTGGCTGGTTGAGTTGGCCTGGCTGCTCTCGCCGGGGCTGCTTTCCCGCTATCCTTCTGGACTTGTTCCTGTCTCCCCGATCTGCCTTCTTCCCTGGTCTCAGGTACATGGTTGTGTTTTCCGACCGGGGCTATTGTTAGTAGTGGATGTTGTGTGTTTGTAGTTGTCAGGGTTTGTTCTGTTGTTTTTCTTGCTCATGGAGGGTCTCTCCCTTCCTCTCTACTTGTGTTTTGTCTGTTTGAGGGGTCTCCCCCTCTTCTCTGGTTGTGTTTTGTTTGCTTGAGGGGTCTCCCCCCTTTTCCATGGGTCAGTCTGTGTCACCCCTCGTACTTCTAGATCTGAACTGGTCTATGTATCTCTTCCAGCTCCTACCGTCTGCGGTGTCTACCCTGTAAGAACGGGGACCAGTTATTTGGGTCACCTTCCCCGGTATCCAAAATGACTCCCCCATAAGATTTTTTGCATATACTGGGTACCCTGTTTGAAATGTGTGGCAGTTACTGGAGGAGTCTGCTGGTTTCTGTGGGTTATATGTGGGGTGCAGTCTGTCTAGATGTGATCTTAGTTTCCTCCCCATTAGTAATTCTGCTGGGCTTTTATTTGTTGTGGCACTGGGTGTTATGTGCTGTATGCTTATTAGTTTATCTATCTTTTCTTGTGTGTCCCCGGGCCTTAGCTTTTGTAATGTTTCCTTCGTGTAATGTACCATGTGTTCTGCCCGTCCGTTCGTCGACGGGTGTTCCGGTGCTGTCAGTGCATGCCTTATCCCATGTTGTGCTAAAATCCCTCAAATGGTGTTGCCGTGAATTGTGGGCCGTTGTCGGATACAATTAAATCCGGCAACCCATGTGTTGCAAAAAGTTTCCTGAACTGTCTAATAATGGCTTCTGTCGTTGTGGAGTACATGATGCTTACCTCTAGCCATTTGGAGTAAGCGTCTATGACTATTAGAAATGTGTGTCCTTTGGTTGGGCCTGCAAAATCAATGTGTAATATTGACCATGGTCCCCTTGGTGTTTCTCATTCATGTTTTGGTGCTGTTGGGGGTGTTGGCCTAGATTCCTGGCAGCGTTTACATGTTGCCACCCAATCCCCTATTTCCTTATCCATCCCTGGCCACTATACATAACTCCTTGCCAGGGATTTCATTTTTACAATACCCAGGTGTCCCTCATGTAGCATTTCTAGTACCCTTTCCCTTATAACGTCCAGTATGACCACCCAATCCCCCCATAGTATGCACCCCTTCAGCATTGAGAGTTCTGTTTGTCTATTCCAGAACGGTTGGGCGTTCTCGTCGATCTCAGTCTCTGGCCATCCTTTTCCTACCCAATTTAAAATTTGTGCCAGGGTTTTGGCTCTAGTTGTTTCCCTAGCAATGTCTGCTGCTGTTATGGATAGGTTTTCTAATGTCTCTATTTGGAGGGTCAATGTGATTGGTGCTGGGTCTTCTTCTATGTCAGGTAGAAGGCAACAGCTAAGCACGTCAGCATGATTTATGTCCTTTCCGGGTCGGTATGTTAATTTGTAGTTGTAGGCAGCCAAGAATTCCAACCACCTCGTCAACTGGGGTGACAGTATGTTAGGTGTAGCTTTGTTTCCTGCGATGATGCCTAGGAGTGGTCTGTGATCTGTGATTAGGATGAAAGTCCTCCCATAAATATATTTGTGGAAACGCTTGATTCCGGTGACAGTGGTCAATGCCTCTTTGTCTAGTTGGCTGTAGTTCCACTCTGGCTTTGACAGAGTTTTTGAATAGAATGCTATGGGTGCTTCTTTCCCATCTGGTAATACGTGGCTGAGGATAGCGCCGACGCAGAAAGGTGATGCATCACAGGTTAGGGTTATTGGGAGTGTTTCACTGTATTGTATTAGTATGCAGTCTGATGTGATCAAGTTTTTTATTTCCTGGAATGCCGTTTCTTCCCGTCACCGCCAGGCCCGAGTTGCTTTTTTGTCAAGCAACCTGTGTAGTGGTTCCGCAATGGTTGCTTTCTGTGGTAGGAATATATTATAAAAGTTAATGAGTCCTAAGAAGGCTTGCAGATCAGTTTTATTTGCGGGCCTGGGGGCTTCCTTGATTGCTCTGACTTTATTTTCTATGGAGTGAATTCCTTCGCTGTCTATCAGGTATCCTAGGAATTCAACTTTGCTGGTGGCTAATTGGTACTTCTCCTTTTTCACTTTTAGTCCCACTCCTCAGAAGTATTGTCTGATATTTAATTGAAAAGAAGTGTTAAAGATGTTAAGATTTTAATTATTATTAATGATAGAACTGAATTGGAATGGAATGAGGGTTTATAATTATATATATTTATAATCTTTTTTTAAAAAGAATATAGTGTGTATTATAAGAATGTACCAAGCAGAATTCGATTGGAAGTTATGTATTATATTGAAGGTCATAACCTTAAGGTATATATTGAAGTTTAAATAAGAGTTGAATGGATGTAATTAAAAGATATAAATGTGTCATACTCCAATTAGTAACTACAGGAGAAAATTTGTTTAATGAGAAAAGATAATATGAAATTGAAACAGAACAGACAAAAGTATAAATATAATGATTTGAATAGAGATGAGATAATCAAAATAAAATTGAGAAAATTAAAAGAGGGGAAAACCACCTCCTTGAATTTACTTAGGACTTCCCTTAGACGGTCCCATAATTGTTCTTTGTCCTTAGCTGATACGAGGACATCATAAAAATATGGCACCACCCATTTTATCCCTTGCAATAGGAATTCCATTAAGCTCTGGAACACCCCTGGGGTGACGCTGACGCCAAATTGTAATTGTTACATTTAAATGCCCCCCGGTGTGTTATGATTGTTTGGCTTCTGCTGTTTCAGGGTCAATGGGTAATTGTTGGTAGGGCTGTGCGAGGTCTAGTTTCGCAAAGATTCCTCCCCCCCAAAGGGAATGTAATAGATGCTGTACCACTGGAACATGGTATGCGCTTTGTTGGAGCGCGTGGTTAAGGGTTGCTTTGTAGTCTCCCCAGTCTTTCAGTGTCAATGTTTGTTTTTGAGTCCTTCCGGGTTGATGTTTGGTATCAGTCTTTTTATAGTGTCCCATGATACCATCGATAAATATGAGCCTGAATCCACTTCCATCTGGCAAGGTTGGCCTTCTATGGTGACCTGGACATATACTTTCCTGGCATTTGTCGTGTTTGAGTGTCCGATGGTCACCATCTGGTGTGTTTCATCTCTTCTGTTGCTTGCCTCTTTTACTCGCCTGTTTCGGTTGTCTTGGTTCCAATGGCTCCCTGTTTGTTTCTCCCTCTCTCGGGGTGTGTGTGTTCCATCTTTGTCTAGGGCCATAGTTTTTCCTTGCTCAGCATGCCCTAGCAATATGTCCCCGCCATTCACAATGTTTGCAGATTGCATCTAGGAAACGGCACTCGGAACGTGGATGGTTCCCCTCACAGCCGGCACAATGAAATTCCTTCCTTTTTCCATTCCGGTCCCTTCTGCTATGTTCCGAGCAGAGTTGATTTACCCCTTTGTCTTCCTCTTCATCTTCTGATGTGGACTCAATGTCCTCATGGTGGGTTGTGGTGGTGTTTTTTGGGTTTTCCGGTGGTGCTTTATTCATTTTCCGCATGGCAGCCGCCGATTTCTGTGTTGCTTCTGCTGTGGTAGCCTTTTCTATTGCTTCTTTGAGTGTTATTTTGGGTTTTGTTAATAATCGGCCTTGGAGTGTAAGATCTCTGAGTCCTAGGACCACTTGGTCTCTCATGGCGTCATCCATGTTTAGGAATTTGCACGCTCTGGTGATGTCCCTCAGAGTTGCAATGAAATCGCAATGCTCTTGCCTTCTTTTTGGTCACGCCGATAAAATTTGTGTCGTTTGATGAGGCAGGAAACGGTTGGTGCATAGTGAGCCCTCAGTATTCGCTCCAGGTCCGGCCAGGCCATCGTTTTCACATTGGTGGGTGCCACTAACACTTTGGCCATTTTGAATACAGCGGGCCTGCAATGTGTGAGGAAGACGGCTCTCTTCCTGTGTTTGGAGATGTTATTGAGGTCGCTCCCCTCAAGGAACATGAGAAATCGGTCAATGTATGATTCCCAGTCTTCAGTTACTGGATCGAACGGTGCGGGTGGCGTGTTGTTTCTGGCCATTTCGTCTCGATGGGTTGCCAGTCGCCACGTGCTTGCTGGTTCCCTTTGTCTCAAGATCCCACCTTCGTCGCCAGTGTTAAATCGTGGGAATGAGACTCAGGACATCAGCATGGTAACCAGTCATCTTTACTTCTATCTAGGACTCGGCGCCGAAGAAACTGCAGCAGTCTTTTTATAGTCAGTCTGCTCGCGGCTGTGGCCAGTGACAGCTCTTCAAATTTCCCACCTCCACGGACCAACCAATTGCAGGTAAGTATGTTAATACACAACACTGAAGGTGTTCCTTTCACATTCAATGCCATAAAAACACATTTGGGATCTCTGGATGGTGAGGCTAAAATGAAAAAAAATGAAAAAAAATGAAAAAAAAAATGATGTAGAGTTTGAGATGCCTATGAGATGTCTTACCAATGGAAGCGACGATGGTGGGACAGAATTCAGCAGCTCTAGCCAAATAGAGCAGCCAGGCATGAATAATCCAAATTCTAGCTGGATACACATCAATTTTTTAGACTGTACATTTATTGTTGCATTGTAGCCCTCTACAGTTTACCATTCTTTTGACTGAAAATAAATTCCCAGCAGATGTAATTATTTAATAAAGTCATGAGTAATATAGTAATGATTGTTCTAGCCAGGAGATAAATTGCAATCCTTGATATCAAGCCAGGCTGATAAGCATCTGATTATTTCCTTGCTTAGGGTGAGCTTATGGCAATTTTAGTCCTTGTTCAAGAATTTTGGGGACCTCCAATACAAGGAATAATGTGTCCCTGGGACTAATGCATTTGGCTCAGTACAGAATCATTTTGCACTGTGTATGTAGCGGCAGAGAGATATGTCTGGGAGGCATAGTCCTCCTTATAAATATATTTGTGATTTGCTTTAATCATTAACAAAGTTTTAATTAACTAAGCAAAGGCCAGTTTTAGATATTTCTGAATTTCTTAAGGAAAGAAGGGGTTAAGCTACTCCTGTTATTCCCCCATCTCATTACTTGAGCGGTAAATTGTCTTTAAAGACAACTTATTTCATTATGGAAACAAAAAGCAAACTTTTTATTATTTTTACTGAGTACCTAAGAATTTTTGATAACAAATAGTGTCCAAGCATACAGCCATTCCACAGTAATTTGCCAACCATATGAACACAGATAATGATGTCCATATACAGTAGTTGGCAAAGTAATGAATTAATATTAATTATACTGCCAAAGCTGTACAGAGATGAGAAAATTTACTAATGGAAGATAAGGGATGTGCCCATTTTTCTGTGACTCATCAGCAGTCAAGTATTTCACATGGGAGTTTTTTTTTGTCTTCTCCATGTGATCTCCAAAACCTCCTAAAATAAAGTTATGTGGCTGTCCACTCATATTCATGAATAATACAACTGCTGAGAACTCTCTGTTAACACAACCAGGAATAAAAACAGGATCACCCACACTATCAGTGTTCGATTAGGGGATTATGGTGCATAGACATTGTGGCCAAGATCCTCTTTTATATAGCAAGGGTGATTTTTCAAAAGGCAACTGGTCTTTCTTGAGTTTTTCCTTGAAAATGTTTCGCTTCTCATCCAAGAAGCTTTCTCCGTTTTGAAGCTTTTTGTACGAGAAGTGAAATGTTTTCAAGGAAAAAAACCAAGAAAGACCAGTGGCCTTTGGAAAAGTATCTTTGTGACAACCATGACCTCCATAGATATCCTCATTTATACATTTTGTTCTACTGTCATTGTTTTTGTCCCTAAAATCTGTGATACTGAAAAAAGGTTTATTGATGTTAGGGCTGTGTAATAAATAAATATGACACTAACTTTTAATAATTGTCTTTTAATCTATATATCAAGTAAAACAATTCAAATGGGAGTCTCTTACCTTGAGAATATAAATGAACATTTTCAAAACATTGCAGAATAAGAACAGTGGATATTTTGTACCTCATAAATGACTATCCAAGCTTTTTTAAATTAATCAAAAGGTAGAAAACGGCATTATAAAGACCCACAGACTTACTGGAAAAATGAGAGGTAAATGATACATATATTAGAATCCATGATTCTGCAATCTAATTCCTTTTCTCACTTAGGAAGTTAGTATCTAAAAATTCTTGGTTACTGTTGCAGGCTTTGCAGTAGTGATCGAATCATGCAACTGTTACATATTTAATTGAAATAAACATAACCAAACAATAATATTTTAAACTTTATTTTAATAGGAAAAATCAGCCTGCTTGCTTTTGTGTAATCCCTGAAGATCATGTTTCGTTGTGAAGATAGCTATTCTCATTCAATAAAGTCAGGGAAATAGTGTTTCCTTGCCTTAAATGACTTTCTCTTAAACTGCTCTTAAAATGCTATTGCTTGCAAATCACTGACAAACTTTGAGTTGCTTTTGAAGCTTTAGTCCCCAGTTCAAAAGCAACCCATCTGATCTTTTCCTTTCCATTACAGTCTGTAATTTTCTCTTCAACTCTTGCAATTTCCTCCCTGTATTATCTTATAGCCCTATATCTCTTTCCACCCATTACAGTTTCCCCCTTCCACAGAATGAAGTACCAAGCTTTCAAGAGAAGGTTTATGCCTTTCAGGAGCAATTAATCCTTCTTTGACAAGCCCCTAATATTTGGACTGAGCAGCACGCTAGACTGACTCAAAGATGCAAAGATGGGCATTCCATTCAGTACATCTAGTACCTAGATGTAACTCTTTAGAGCAGTATTTCTCAAACTTGCCAACTTAAAAATGTGTGAACTTCGACTCTCAGAATGCCTCAGCAAGCATGGCTGGCTGGGGAATTCTGGGAGTTGAAATCCACACATCTTAAAATTGCCAAGTTTTGAGAAACCCTGCTTTAGAACAACTACATCTTTTCCTGTTACGCACTGTAAATTGGGCCTTATAGAGACCTTATCCCGAATGAAAGTATCTTAATTGGAAATAAAAGCAAAAGAAACAACAAAAACAGCTATCTGTTTTGAGGTGAAGGGAAACACATAATTTTACCTTGACTGAAAAATGCTTCTTCTTAGGTGGATCCCAGACAATTCCAGTTGAATGAATGAATGCCTGTAAAGGTGTTAATGATGTAACCAACACATACACTTTGATGATGATCGAAAAATCTTGAATCTTAAAGGCTTCCTTGTTTTCTGTCTCAATGGGGATTGGATGTCTGGAAAATTACAATATAACATTAAAAAGTTGTTTCTTCTGTGCAATCCTAACTGGAAAAAGGAAAACAACTGGAAACAACAGTCTATATACATGACAAGCTAAGAGGCAGACTGCTTTGTTCGCTGACTTGGGAGCTATGGCTTGTTTCTGACTTCCATTTATGTGTTTTATGTTTACAATTTGGGACTTTCCTTGTTTGCTTGTTTGAAGCACATTTTGATGTCATGTTATACAAAATCCAAAAAGAGTTTCTTTATTTGTGTAGCTATGCTGACTGTCAGAGGCAGGAAAACAAGGACCTTTTTTTTTCTCATGAAATGTCTTCATTAATTACATTTCAGTCGGTTAGTGGAGGTAGAGCAGAGGTCTCCAAACTTGGCAACTTTAAGACTTGTGGACTTCAAGCATAGCTGGCTGGAGAATTCTGGGAGTTGAAGTCCACAAGTCTTAAAGTTGCCAAGTTTGGGGACCCCCTGATGCAGAGTCAAAGATGTCTCTAGTGCTAGACCAAGAAGCCTTGTTGCCTTAAGGACAGCTAAAATGGCATTCTGTGGCGCAGTGGTTAGAGTGCAGTACTGCAAGCTACTTCTGCTAACAGCCAGGCTGGCTACAATTTGGCAGTTCAAATCCCACCAGGCTCAAGGTTGACTCAGCCTTCCATCCTTCCAAGGTGGGTAAAATGAGGACTCAAATTGTTGGGAGTAATATGCTGACTCTATAAACCGCTTAGAGAGGGCTGTAAAGCACTATAAAGCGGTATATAAGTCTAAGAGCTTTTGCTTTGCTATTCTGTTCCCTGTTCGGCCCTTAATTAAAAATAAAATAAACTGCTGCCCCATTAAGATATCAAAACTTGTCTTCCGTTAGCAATAGCAATATCACTTAGACTTCCTGTAATGATCACTGCACAGTGCTTTACAGCCCTCTCCAAGTGGTTTACAGAGTCAACATACTGCCCCCAACAATCTGGATTCTCATTTTACTGACTTTGGAAGGACGAGTCAACCTTTAGCCGGTCGGAACTGAACTCCTCGCTGAGGGCAGAGTTTGCTTGCAACACTGCATTCTAACCACTACGCCACCCTGGGTCATCAGCCAGTTTTACCCTTTTCACATTCTTATGATCCTGTTTCTTGGATATATGGTACTTCACTGTAAACGTAGACCTGAAGTATTGGTATTTGATATTTATTTTAAATAAATTCTATAAACTTTCATGAACATGTTGCAAATTAGCACATAATGATAATTTCTGCCAATATCCGAATAAATTAATTGTTCCATGCTATTTATATTCTACAAATATGTATCCAGATGGATACATAGACATATGTAGAGTTTGATTGCTTATTGAATCTTGAATACAACTGTGATAGAGAGATGTATACATCTCTTGTTTATTTTCTTAATCTGTGGCTCTTTTACAGTCATATTCAAAGACTAGAATTAGACAACTATCTCAACAGAACCAGGACCTCTTTATTTATCAAATAATAGAATTGTTAAAGTATGGTATAGTTTGGTATAATAAAATTGTTCTTCCTAATTCCTCTTTGCATAACAATTTGTTCACTACAAACATTTAGTCATTTTAATCTCAATGGCATTCACATCTACAATTTTGGAACCCAGCAGTGAAATGGAAGAAAATGAAGGAAACGTATTTGGTCAACACATGAAACATTAATTATTGGTTCTCCAATTTTACATCACAAGAAATTCAAATACAATGAACAAAATGTAGCATTTCATTCTGTCGTGGAGATTTTGTTAAGAAAATAAAAATATCTTACTGGTGAACAACCTTGACTGGCTGATGTAATGTTTCTGTCAAGCGTATCCTTTCATTCTTATCATATGATTTGAGTGTATGAAGAGATATAATTTTTGATTCTGGGCAAGCAGAAGAAATAATTGAAAGATGCAAATCTGGAAAAAAAATCACATTAGGTTGGAGAGGTGGAATCAAAATGAAACTTGGATAGAGTTCTAATTTTAGGGTTTTTATTTAGGTTTAATAAATTCATCTGCTATTCCAATTAGATATCTCACAATGGCTTAAATGGGATTATTTGTGTTGCCTCATTCAAAATATATTGGACATGTACCTACTTAACTTTTTCATATACATATGATACAATCAGTGCATTTATCAGACTTTATTCGTTATATTCTCAGCATAAATGAGATAAAGTTTGAAACATATGATATTGACAATTTAAAGGATACTTGTTGCTAATTCATCTTAATGATTTCAAAAAGCCATATCCTAAAATACAACATAACATTTGGTTATAATATAAACACTAAAGAAAATGTAATGTATCTACAGTATATTCTATTTAGTTTCTCCACAAAACTATTGGATTTAATTTGAAGCATAGGACTGGGCTGTAAATCTAGTTTATTGATGTAGAAGGACAGCTTTGTTTACCACTCAAAATGTTGAAACATTAAATAAAAATATTGGATATTTTCTAATACATCTGTGGAAACATGGCCAATTGAGATTTCAAAAACATACAATATTTTGGTGCAACATTGATAAAGTATCTGTAAACTTCCCAGAATCACTTGGATAGCGAGATGTGTAGGATCTAAAGTTGATTATAAATAAACAAATTGCTGCTTGTCAATTACTTGAATGAGACAATGTTTCATTCATCATCAGCACTGAGAAATTAGAAGGTCATGGCTTGGTGATTTCTTGAATGGGAGATCTCCAAGGACTAGTAGAGTTGAATTGGGAAATTTTAAAAAAATAGTTGAAAACAACAGTGACATCCCAGTTTGTTATTTTTGCTGAGTAAAACAGCATGAACATGACTGTCAAAGTATAAACATGAGTTTAACTTAAATAATCCTTGAAATACCAAAACTATTATGAGATCTACCAATAGAGGGTGTGATTTCCCTTTTCTTCCCATTTATTTTACAAAGCCTTTTTTGTTCATTTGTGGTGTGGTTTTTATTAACCAAGCAAAGGCCATTTTTAGACATTTCTGAATGCCTTAAGGAAGGAAGAGATCAAGCTGCTCCTGTTATTCTCAGGTCTCATTACTTAACAAGAGACCACACCATGCTGAGCTGATTTTAAAGGCAATCTATTTTATTTCATGATGGAAACTGAAAGCAAAACTTTTACATGTTTTAGGGAATGCTTAAGAACTTTTGATACAAATAGTGTCCCAAGCACACAGCCATTCCACCGTAATTTGACAGCTACATACACAGAGATCATAATATGCATATACTATGTAGTTGGCAAATTAATGAAATTAATTCTACTGCCAAAGCATCTGTCAGAGAGACAAGAAAGTTTGCTAATTCAAGATAGGAGACAGGCCCATTTTTCTGTCATTCATCAGCAGTCAAGTGTTTCGTATGGGATTTTTAAGCTTTTCCATATGATCTTCAAATCCTAAAATAAATTTACATGGCTGTCCATCCAAAACAACTCTTGAGGGATTAACAATTAAAAATAGAATAAAAACATACTAAACAACCAAATTTTGAAACAACAGAAATAGCATTAAATAATACAACATTTGGGAAAACTCAGTTAACGTGACCAAGACTAAGAAACATGAAACATGTTTGATTGCAAAGTCACATTTTCAATGTTTTGCAAAAGGTTAGCATGCTTGGGATAAGGCTAATCTCATGGGCTGTCTTGCTAAATGACCTTTTCTTTCTGGATGGAACTTGAGCCTGCTTTTGCTGCTGGATCTAACAGAATGGGTAGACATCACCAGGGAGAGATAGTCTCATAGGTAACCCAAGCCATGAAGGTAAACCACCAACACCTTGATTTGCATCCGGGAGCATACTGGTAGCCCATCCAGATCACACAGTAGAGATGTCACTTGCACCAAGCAATTAGCACCAACTGCCTGTTCTTCCACATTTTGCTCTAGTTGAAGCTTCCAAATACGACTCAAAGGGAGTCTCTTTAAAGATCAGCTATGTTGGTTGACTGCACGCTTCGTCCTGGCTGGATCTAGGATTTGAGGGTGATGATGAGCAAAAATTGAGATGCAGGATAAGTGCAGATGGGGTAGGTGTGGGTGGGAATGAAATTAAGAAAGGATAAGCTTGAAAAGCCTCAGCACATTCAGACCTCTATTAAAACAAAATTTATAACTTCTGCACTTATAATCTCTGCACTGGTTGCACGTATCAACACTGAAAAAATTCAAGGGCAAAATTCTAAATGCACAGAATAAGGCTTATTCTGTACAGAATAAGGCTTATTTAGGTTCGCCTGTGTAAATATTTTAGAAGATTTGCCAGCCGAAAAATCTCATTGTTTTTATCTAGCAAAGAATATTCACTGCATATGCCTTAATGCGTGAATCAGAGCTGAAATCCTTTAAAACTACATTCTTTTTCCCTTTGTATTTTATTATCTTAACAGTAAATATATTTTTAAATAAAATAAATAAATGAAATGAGAAAAAAAATCATTCATTCCCACACAAATTTTATTACAGTTCAAGACCAATTTTTTTTAAATTAAGTCTTGGAGACACAGATGTTTTGTCTTTCAAATGCTGTTGATGTAGTTACAATTCTGTCCAAATAAGTTTCTACAGGACATAGGTATGTGTTTTTTCTATGTGTCATTTTAGCACCCTGAAACACCTTTGCAATTTTCCTTCCTAATTCATCTCTTGGTTTGTTTTCAATAAGGATAGAATGCTTCCATATTACATGTTCCACTTACATGTCATATATATGAAGATGCATAGAAAACATAATATGCAGCTCCCAGATAGCTAGATTTGAGAAAACACTAGAATGCTTATGAGATCCTACAATGGAAAGTTTCTGTTTTATCATGAAAGAGTTTGTGGATGCATGGATCAAGCAGAGTAAGTAGTATACAATAGGATATAATAGGATACAATGTTTTCTATATAAGGAAAATAGGAAAAGAAAATAAAAAGAGCAAAAAGTGCAAGAAAAGAAAAAAGTTGAAGAAAAATAGAAAAGAAAGATATAAAAATCTGACTTTCAATATTCTTCAACAGCAGTTATAATTACAAATATATTTTAACCTGTCTCTCTGAAGTTACTGTACATCGTATTACTCTTCTTCCTACAATCCAACCTAGCTAATCACAAATTCATTTCCTTTCATTTTTATGCAAAAAAACCAAAAACATTAGAGATCTCCAGTCTTCCATAAATGTAGATATCGCCTATCTGACTTTGCTTTTCAGCACACTATCTGCCTTCAGAAAATGAAGCAATTTCCTTTGATAACGCATGCACTGTCATATTTTCCACCACCAGTGACGGATATGCCAAAATATATTCTTCCTCCTCACTTAGCACTTCTTACCCTTTAATCTTAAAATTGTTCCAACATATCTGCTAAATGAGTTAAGTGTTTGAAAAGATGTCCTGGTATATTTGGGAGACTGGCTATAATTTATCCCTTCTTTATAGAGGTGAATAATGCAGCATGATTTCACTCTCAAAACTAAGGTAAATGTAAACTATATTGAATAAAATAATAATGTCCTGGATTCATTCTTTAATCCATACCATATCAACAACTTAGAACAAGGATTGTCAGGTTCTTCAAAATGGTTTGTTTAGGTCAAACTTCTCCAACCTGTTCTTCTCCAAATGGGTTGGAATTACAAATATTACTAATCCAACACAATCAGCATATATGATGTTTGGGAATTATGTACATTGTATAGAAATTCTGGAACAACATTAAATGGTTGATTGCTTGAGGGAAATGCTGATTGCTATCTTGAAATATTCATAAGAATGATACTGTTTTGTACCCAGAAATTCTGATAATTGATGATGTCACCAAACAGCTATATATACTATGTGTAAATTATGCTAACAATGTAACTGTTTACAAGCTAGGATTAAAATGACTTGATTTGTCTAGTTTTATGGAGTTTTTTTATAGTATACAGTACAGTAGCCAGCTATCACTTTCATTATACTAGCTTTACACTAACTTCTTTTATGAGCCAGGCTAGAACCAACTTTTGTGAATGTTCAGTATATAATTTTTAAAACAAATACATGAAATAATTTATCAAGCCCCAAACACTTTATAAAATTAAGTACACAAATCAGAATCTATAAAGAGTATACTTCATGGGTATATTGACTTATACATTTTATATGGAACATTGAAAATATGTGAACTTATGGCATTATCTATATCTGTATCTATCTATGCATTTTGTGCACAGATTATAGAATAAATTAAATTTGTTTGCTGCCCAACTTGCTGTGGGGCAATATATATTATGCAAGGCCAAAAATGGCTTGGTATTTTTTTTAAAAGAATGGAATCCAAAAGTTTATCTATGAAAAACAAAACAATTAAAATAATATAAAAATAAACATAAAGGGGTACTTTAAAAAAAAAAAAACTGACACATACCACACTTTAATTATCTAGTGCAGGGGTTTGAAACTCGCGGCCTGCAGGCTGGATCTGTCACATGCTAGCCACGCCCACTCTCATTTTAGCAAAGGGGGAAAAAGTTGCAATATGTCATGTGATGAAAATGTGACCGTGAGTTTGACATCCCTAATCTAGTGAATAAGTTAACTGTTCTGAAGCACAGTTTTAAATTTGTCTTGGTTTTAAAAGTGGTTATAATAAAAGACCACAAAACACAAAACTCTCATTGTGGGATAAAAACAGGGAGTATTCAGCGGGTTCTGAACAGTCCTGGAGAACTGGTAGCGGAAATTTTGAATAGTTCAGAGCAGGGGTCTCCAACCTTAGCAACTTTAAGACTTGTGGACTTCAACTCCCAGAGTTCCTCAGCCAGATTTCAGAGAACCAGCAAATCCCACCTCTGACTGGAGACTTTATAGTATCCTTCCCCTGCCACGCCCACCAAGCCACGCCCACAGAACTGATAGTAAAGAAATTTGAATCCCGCCATTGGATAAAAACATTCAGTTTTCAGATACAATGAAACATAATTTTCTGAAAAAGCAATACATCTGAATCATCATTGTTTTTCATACTCCAGTATGATTTCAGTAAATAGAAATTCCCTAGAACTTAGTTTCTTCTGAAAATTGACATTGAAAAGTTCCCAGGATTAGCCTATGTATTATAAACAGTAAGTACAAATAGTTCTTATAAAATAATACTTAGAATTAGGTTGCATAAACTGTTTACAATTCCCCCTTGAAAAATATTCTGTTATGAAAACAGAATGCAGATTCAGTATTTCTGTATGTGAAGCTTTGTCCTCCATTTTCATTTATACAATCAGCATGTTGTGTGTGTATGTGAATATGTGTCCCTTATAGTAAAACTGGCATGTTTGATGTGATCATAAAGCATTTAGTCTTGGGGTTACTTGGACATGTTTGACCAATAACTGCTTCCTATTCGACTCCTTCCGTACAGTATAATGAACATACAGGTTTCTCTTAGCAGAATATTTCCAATGTATTTTTTAGGTTGAGCCCATATTTAAGAGTGTCTGAGCAAAGTACAGACAGCTGTTGATTATCCAACCCATAAAAGGAATGCAGCTGAAAATGACACACCTCAGAGTTGTTCATGGCCAGACACCTGTTGTTGGGGATACTTTTTCTGAGGGAAAAAGAAGATGAATCTATGTGGTCATCCAACCAAAACCAAAACTGAGGGCAAACCACAGAGCATTGCTTCATTATTAGTAATTGCTTCCCCCCCCCAAAAAAAATAAGGGCAGATGTATAGCCTCTAAAACAACACCGATCTGCCAGTTGCTAATTTCTGTCTAATCAAAGTGTAAGACTGACTACTGATGAAGAGAAATAGAGGATCCGTGGCATCCCTCCAGACATTTTGAGGCTCTGCTCATGACACAAACATTCTATACAGAAAGCCAAATTTCTCTCCAGGCAAGACTAAGGGAGTGTACCAAGTTTTGCGGCCAAGTAAGCAGCAGGCTTACCATATGCTTCTATTTGTGTGTGAGAGAGGAAAAATTGCTGGGTTTTTTTCTCCCTCAGAAATACTTTTAGAAAAAAAACCAGAAAGAGATGATTTTCATATTGTGGTCATTGGCAGGGCCCTGAGGAATCTGAAACAAATATAGTACCGTATAAGAAAACAAACGTCATGTAGAAGAGCTAGGTTCCCTAAAGAAAGATCATATATCACTCTAAAATGAAAGGCACACAGGGTAAGAAAATACCGCATCGCTCCTTCCCTTTTTACTTTTGCAGAATCCCAACCCATGGATTATGGCATATTGGCCTCTTGAAAATGTGCTTTGTGACAACTGTAAAGTGTGTCATTACAGAGAATTGCTGAAGAACAGCAGCATATATCATGAAGATGTCAAGAAATGGATGGACAATGACAGTGGCCAAATATATTAGCAGTGGTGGTACCGGACACTAGACACACCAGCTACTGTACCATATAAACTCTGCGAATTGTGAACTGGGCAAGGAAACCTGGACCATTAGCAACTAGTGTGTGAGAGCCCACAGAGCGTTAATTTTACTGCAGTGATCAGAGATCTTAACACCAGACCCAAAACAACGATCGATCTTCTACCCACTAGCACAAGATAACTATCAGAATCCCAGAATTGTACTGGGCAGCAGCCTCACAGCAAGATATTGTATTGTAGCACAAACTGGAGAGTAGCAACTTGATTTATATACAAATGACTTACACCAAGGTGGCCTGGATAAGGCAGGAGTGAAGAAGTAGACACAAGAAACAGAATCACAGCTGATTATAACATAGAACAAAGTAAATATAGCGTAGAAGATCAGAGCTCTAAGATAGGAAATAGAACCATAGGAACATAGTACAGTATATGCAAAATGTTAAGATACTGTGTAGCATTATAGACATAAATAATAAGTAGGACACTAAACGTCTATTAACTTGTCTCAGAAACCATCCTGAAAAATATGCAGGATATAAGCTTGGCCTACGAAAAGGCCTCTGAACTATTAAAAATATTAAAAATATTTCTTTTTAATAGTTCAGTGTTTGTGACAATAGAGAAGCCCTTGTGTGTGTTAGATTTCATAAGTCATCCCAATATCAGAATGTTTGTGGTTCTCTTTTTTTCTTTAAATGTGCCAGGTAACTTTAGTTTCCATCTGGTGTATGCCTGACCTTAACAATCATCAGAACAATCCCAGACCTGGCACAGATTGTTCTGTACTGGCATGTCTTGATTATTTCTCACTTGAAGGGTAAAACCACAAACCCAGCAGACATCTGTGGAGATTATCAGTCATTCAGGTCATAGTTGTCTCAAAGGTGCTTTTTCAAAAGGCAATTGCACTGTTTTGTTTTTTTCCTTGAGAAAGACAAAGAAAACATTTCACTTCTCATCCAAGAAGCTTCATCAGTTCATCATCAACTGATGAAGCTTTTTGGCGGAGAAGCAAAATGTGTTCTTTTTTTTCCTCAAGGAAAAAACAGTCCAATTGTTATTTGAAAAAAAGCACCTTGGATATACACAACAGACCTTGTCATGTTACACTCAAGTGCAATGGATGACCCTGTCTTTTTGCCTCATTGTTGAATAGAAATTCAAGTTCTGGATATGGAATAAGTTGGTGACATCATTCTACAATTTAGGTTGAAAAGCCATTTATCTCTATCTTGGCTGGTACATTTTTCTCCTGCCTCCAACCTTTTATTAACTGAAATGAAGATGACTTTTCAAATCTTACAGACATGATAAAGGTAAAGGTTCCCCTCGCACATACGTGCTAGCCATTTCTGGCTCTAGGGGGCGGTGCTCATCTCCGTTACAAAGCCAAAGAGCCAGCGCTGTCCGAAGACGTCTCCGTGGTCATGTGGCTGGCATGACTAAACGCCGAAGACACAGGGAACACTGTTACCTTCTCACCAAAGTGGTCCCTATTTTTCTACTTGCATTTTTACATGCTTTCAAACTGCTAGTTTGGCAGAAGCTGGGAGAAGTAACAGGAGCTCACTCTGTTACGCGGTGCTAGGGATTCAAACCGCCGAACTGCTGACCTTTCTGATCGACAAGCTCAGCGTCTTAGCCACTGAGCCAGTGTCCCTATGTGCAGACATGATACATAATTCTAATTGCTATTCTGTTTGATTCATATGCTGCATTATTTCAGGTTGAAGGTTACAGAAAATTCCTCCTTTTTAAATTTCTAGAGTTTATTAATTACTATTCAATTATTATTTCTACAGCCCCATGGATTTTATAGAATATTGGACAGCAACTAAGTAAACCGAGAAACACACATAACTGAAACATTTCAGACCTAATTCCACCTGGGTTGACAATATGAGGCCAGGGCTTTAATTTCAAATTGGGGTTTATTTGACTGAAAGTTCCTACACCGGGAGGAAGGAAGTGTCATTGTATATAGAAAATTAGCATCCAGAGGGAACATATTAAACAAAAATGTTATCCTATTGTTTAATGTTATTTATGCATGTTTATTAAAGGACGGAGACATTCACATAAATATGCACATCAAGCACCAAATCATGAGAAATTATACCTGCATTCTAAATTTGCAACTCTGCTGAGAAGCTAGGCAAAATTCTCCATCTTTATCAGAACCGCTGAATGACTTTTCTGCTACCATTGATCAAATTTCAAAAACCGTATACAATATTTTCAGTTTTACTTGTTTCAGTTTTATCTGACTGCTGACCTTATAGGTACAATAAAAATTTTGATTTTATTTGATTCATTATGTTAACTTCAGAGGTCAGATTCCAGCATTTCTCTTCCTTTTGAGCGTGCAACCAAAGGTCATTAATTGGTTTATTAATATAACTCAAAATTTTACCTGGGAATGTTCTCATTATTTGGCACAATCCCTCCTTTCTGGAAAGCAGATGCTGGATTTGAGAGAGAACATTTGCCTGGGAGGGAAGAGAGAAATGGCAATTATTGCAATTTTACAAGATTGTTTTTAAGTGTCATTGAAGATACCATTAAAGCACGGTTTGCTGATAAAGGCAAATAGCGCCCATTCCTCTGAGTAGAATAGGAAAACCAATTAGACATAAGCTAAGCTTGAACAGCCAGTTTAGTGCAGGAATTAAAACATGGGGATAGAAACTGGCAGACTGGGAGTTCTAGTCCTACTTTGGGTGCAAACCCAATTGGGTTCATTTGGGCCAGTCACTCTTTCTCGGTCCTAGGGAGCAGGCAATGGCAAACCATGCCTGAAATTCTTCCAAGAAAACCCCAGAGAGTTGCCAGCAGTCAACACTGACTTGAAGGCACAAACACAAGTTTCCATTGGCTTTTTTTCAATCAACCTTAACATTGCTCTACTTTTAATTGTAAGCTACATATTATATCCTTTTTTTATTAATATGATCACATTTTAAGGTAGGATTAATGTCTTAGAACAGTGGCCCCCAACCTTTTTTGTGCCACGGCCCGGTACTGGCATCACAAAATGATCCGCGGCCCGGTACTGGCATCAGCACGCAAGGCAAGGCGAGCCGAGCGACCGGCCAGCCAGCCGTCCCCCGCTTCTCCCCGCCACCTTCAACTCCTCCTTTGTACCTTTGTCGATGGGCTTCGGGACGGCTTCGGGACGGTCGCTCAGCTCGCCTTGCCTTGGGTGCTGAAAGAATCCTCGCGCCTTAGTTTTGTTCGAAGCTGCCTTCCCCCTTTGATGAAACTAAGGCGTGAGGATTCCTTCAGGACCCAAACGCCGCTTTCCAACCGGAAAAGCTCACTGGAAGCACTTTCTCATCAAAACAAGATGGCGGCGCCCAGCAAACCGGAGGCCCGGTAGAAAATGTTCCATGGATCGGTACCGGTCCGAGGCCCGGTGGTTGGAGACCCCTGTCTTAGAAGAGAAGTATCTAAGAGATTCAGAGCTGTTATTAAATGATGAAAACAACATGTCGCCACTGTGACAGAAGCTCCTGTGATGTCAAAACACATGTAAAAATGGGCATGGCATGCATCATGCTGGAGTGATTTTGCTTCCAACATGATCCTTTTTTTATCATTTGTCCCCTTGACAACCTCACCCCTTATTCCAATATCTCTACTATACTTGGGAAGGGGAAGGGAAGGAGCAAATGCATAGGCATTGAACACGATTGGCAATACAACATGAACTCAGTCTGCAGCATGCACCATAACATTTATCTATCCTTTTATTGCCGTTCAAAGACAAAATTGTACTTTTGCCTATGGGACATGTCTGTTTGACATGTTTATGAAACAGCATTGTTCCTTTTAATTTTAAAGACAAGGATGGCAAGAAAAACATTCCATTCATGCATATATCTGGCAAAATGGATATTATTTACTCCAAAGTACTATTTCTTCATGGGGATATGTCTATACATTGATTAAAAGTCTCATTTTTTCCTTCTGCAGTATTCCATGTGGGTATGTGCAAAAGAGATGGAATACAAAAAAAGTCCTGTTTAGAAAACCCTAGATAATTATGACATTCCACGATTCTGACAGTTTACCGCATCGCCTTGCCCCTGATGAAATCAATATTAATGTATGAATATTCACATTCTTCAACATATTTGGCAATAACATATTGTGTTTTTTTTCCTTCCAGCAATGCTGGAAGAAAAGACTTTAGAAAATGCACTTGAGACTTCACTCATGCAAAGCATCTGCTTTAATATCAGCAAATTCCTGTGAAAATGAGAAAGTACTAGCATGAAGAATGGTGCCAAAAGCATCTGATAGGATGCTTCATAATAAAATAAAAATGCAGAGTTAAAAAAAAAAAATAGAATTTAAGCATGTGCCAGAAAGAGAGGTCATTTTTCAGCCATACCTTTTGCAGTAGCGTTGGTTGATATGATTCCACTATATTTAAGCAATTTTCATGGTCCTCTTTGTTAGATGAGAGGCAAATCAAAAGGTCCCAAGAACTTAATTCATCTGTGATAAAAAAGAAAGAACCATCACGGGAATTAACTGTGATGAGAAAGGACAACAATCCAATCAAACAGAAAATATTTATTCAAACGACACTGTTCACCTGTGATAAAAAAAAAAAAGAATGGGGAGAAGACCTCGGTTTGAAGGGGTCAATATGATCAATATGATTCTGTATAGTCTAAGTTCAAATTCAATGGTTCATATATGTACTGAGTGATCTACTATTTTTCTTTTTGGGTTTTGCTTGGTTTTTAAACTTTAGTTTTGCTTTAATTTCTTGCTGATGGTACTTTCATTTAGTGCTGATGGGGTTATTATTGTTAAAGGAGATGGGCGAAAGAAGGGGGAATGGGAATGTGTTGGTGGTGGTGGTGGAGGAGACCTGGATACAGGTGGAAAACCTATCACTTATCTTGAACTGGGGACACACCTATATATCTGAACATTTTTACTGAATGGATTTTGATGGTTAAGTTATAAAATGTCCGTACTTTCAGATTGTGGAGATCAAGAAACAGACTCCACAAGAAGAGTAGAATTAAGTTTTATTGGATAGATTATATGGCTGTCTGACTAACCTTCCCTCTCTCTCTGTACCATTTGTCTCCTAAGAAATCAGTGAAGACTTACGCTGAGTTTCTTTCTCATATAAAGTGAGTTTCTTCTGGATGTATAACGACAGAGATAAAATGGAGAGTTTGCTTATGTAGGAAATAGGTGTAGTGTGTGCTGTGTTTCTTACCTTGCAATAATATCATAAGCAGAATAAACAAATAGTAAACTACTAGGTGTTTTTTTTAAAAAAAAACTTTCAAGCTCAAAACAGAGACCCAAATTTCTTTTCAGATTTCTTTAAACCCAGTTTAAATACAGAGCATAAGGAGGATTATATCTATTCACCTGCTTCAAAAGAGAAACAGTTTATAAATTATTGTCAATCGTCTGAGTTCATCTGAGTTGTTTGGAGCTGCAAAATGCCCATTTCGAATTCCACAAATGTTTATACATTATTAATCTATAAAGAAGTTTGAGGTGGAGTAGAATCTGGACCTTTCTACTCCTAATCCAACCCTACATTGCTTCTAGTGTATAGTTCTCTCACTCACACTGTGATCCTAAGCTCTCCGTTTATCTCTTTTCTAATTTATGAAAACTTGAGTTTAATCAACAAAACATGGTTTAATTTTGTCATGCAAAACAGAGTATGAAACGAAACAGCTTCACAGCAGCAATGTATGGTATTTACATCTACCTTTCTTACAGGAGTTCAAGGCAGCGTACATAACACTCCCTTCTATTATTTTTCATAAAATCTTCCCTGTAAGGTTTCTAGTATTTAATTCAGTGGTGGGATTCAAATAATTTAACAACCGGTTCTCTGCCCTAATGATTTCTTCCAACAACCATTTCGCCAAACTGCTCAGAAAGTTAGCAACTGGTTCTCCCAAAGTGGTGCAAACAGGCTGAAATCCCATCTGAGTTACTGATTTAATTCAATTCCTGGCCAAACCTTATTCAATTTTAAGATTCTATTTAGATTTGTATTTCTATTCCTTTGAATGCTCGAGGCAGGGTTATATATAAATGGAGAAGTTTATCACTGACATGTGGTTAATATAGTATTTTCACCAAGAAAGTAGTAACATCGTGATAAACTTTTTCTGAATGCTGCCTTCTGAGCAGGCCACGTGGAATGTTTAACAGGGCACTAAGTGCAGATGAAAAACAAATTGTAGGAGGAGAAACACATTCTTTTATCAAGAGCTTTTGGTGTGGGTGCTAGAACTCTGCAAACAGAGGCCGAGATAGAAAAAACATCAACATATCAAACTGCACCAAAGATAAACTTGGAGATTCTAAATGATACTGTGTATTGGATATCACAAGTGAGACTGAGAAGAGAATGAAAAAAACAACAACAATTCTTTCTTGGTGCTGGCAAAATAATCCTATCTATACTTTTTTGGTTTAGAATAATGAAATCAATAAATAGTTTCCATATATAGAATGCTTGAGAGATGCTTTGGAAAACTCCACAGTTATAAGACAAGTACTGTAAGTTAACGAGTACTTTATGCAATATAGCTAATTTTTAATCTGCTAGCAATTAGGACACCTACCTAAAATGCTAGCAATTGGACTCCCCATACAGGAGAGGAAAGACCATAAAAGTTGTCATTGGATAATGTTGACAAGATTGTGAAAAAGAGAGAGGTGACAACAGTAGTAGGATTCAATTTTTTTTTTTACTACCGGTTCTGTGGGCGTGGCTTGGTGGGCGTGGCAGGGGAAAGATACTGTAACATCTCCAGTCAGAGGTGGTATTTGCTGGTTTTCTGAACTACTCAAAATTTCCACTACTGGTTCTCCAGAACTGGTCAAAACCTGCTGAATAAACTTGGGTGACAAGTTTACCTATCATAAGTAAAACTATGATATGATGAATTGACATAGTGGAAGGGTAGAAAGGTATGGAGGGTAGAGTGACCAGTGTGGGTATAAACTAGATGGAATTATCTTTCTTATCTTTTTTTCCTACATGGTATATTTAATTTCTTTGACTTACTATTTATTTTCCATTTTCTGTGTTTTGGTATGTTATTGCATGAGGGTTATGCAGGAACCTAGCCCACTGCATGTGACTTAGATTTTTTTGCACTAGCAGAGCCACAATGCAAGAGGGAAAAGATTCTTAAAAGAATTCACTAGATTGGAAGCAGAGGCAAATTGAGACCACACATACTTTACAAGTATACAGAAAGGCTGAAATGATTCTTCTATTTTTGGGGTATAAGTTTTAAAAAGTCTGCTATATTAATAGTAGAGTTGGACTCTTAGAGGTACAGCCTTTCTGGTACTTTTCTGAGTTAGCCATAACAGTAACTTGGAATTCTAGAAATTAAAGCTTTATTAAGCCTGGTCATTTTTATAGCACATAATTCGTTAGTTTTATATGCCAAAAGTATGTATGTTTCTGTTAGTAATTATTCCCTTAATGAAGCAGTCTGTCATTTATTTTTTTATGGAACCATGGATTGGTTC